GACACACCACTGCATATCTCAGGACACATAACCCAAAGAGAGGAATTCAAGCAAAGATAATGAAAAGTAATGGGTCTTCTGCCATATTTATGAAGTAAAGGAGAAAGCAAGTTGGTGCATGATGATATTATGTAAAATTATTTATCCTTGGTAAATATCTACTGCATTGGAGTGGATATAAGCTGTTAAGATTCTATTCTCTTAGTAGCAAATAAAGATAAATAGGTTTTAGATGGTCTGCTACAGGTCCAGTTGAAGCCTCTGTCCAGAATTAAGAAAAAGTCAATTCAAAGTAATCCTATAGACTCTAAGCCAGTAAGATGTACTCTGGGGACCAAAGTCTCCCCATAAAAGTCCTTTAGAGACAGGGACATTATCTACTTAAGAACTACTTAGCCTATCTAAGGATCTTCAAGAACTAATAGCTGTGTTAAAGCAAACTTTTGAAAATAGTTACAGACCCTGCCCAAGTTACTGAGATCTAACTTGTCTTTGTTTCTAATTAATTCATCCTGCATACCACTTCAAAGTTAATCCTCACTCTCACCTTTATTCAAGAACTTTTAGTAATAATTAAGAGCTAACACCAATGGAGCTCTTACCATCTGCTCAGCACTGTACTGAACAATTTAAATGAATTTTCTCATTTAATCCTACCAGCAATCCAATGAAGTAAATGCTATAGCTCTTTCCCTTGGAGATGAGGAAATGACTTAGAGATTCAATAACCTGCCCACAGCTGCTGAGCTTCTGAGTGGCAATGCTAAGACTCAAATGTAGGCTCTCCACCACTGTAGTATTTTCACAGAGATACTAGTGGTCTAATAATCACTTAGGGAACCCATTTAAAAAAACAAAAAACAAAAAAAACAGCAACTTGGGCACAATGACAAGGTACCTACATCAGAATTTCCAGGGTGAGTCTCTGACTCACAGCAGGTTTAAGAATCATAAGTTAACTTCCCATTCTCTATTCCTAAAGAATAGAGTTGATTTCCTATGTCTAAATTACTCTTCCCAGTAGGATTCTAGGATACGGGCAAAATTGCTTACATTAGTCTACCAAGTTCTTCATTGTCTATCACTTGATTGACCTTTTTTGGTATCATCCTGCCCCAAGTTCCCTTTTTGTTTCAGTGTCCCCCATTCATCACAGGGCTTTCCTTTCCCAGGTGTTTGCACATGCTGTTCTTTGGCCTGCATTGCTCATTCCTCCTCCTCTTGTCTAGTTAACTCTTGCTCTTCTTCAGGTTTCAGCATAATGGACACTTCCTGAGAGACACTTTCCTGACCTCCCTGTCTAGGTCAAATCTGTAGCTATAATCTCTCATAACACTATGTACCACATTTGCAAATTTTAAAAAAATTTTATGATTCTCTCTCATTCACTATAAACTCTACAAAGGTAGGTAATATGCTTGTTTTTGCTCATTATTGTATCCCCAGTGCCTATCTCATTCGTGCCTGTCACATAAATAGTGCATGTTCAATAAATATTTTAAAGAATTAATAGATTCAAGGCCTTTTTATCTATTCCCTACTTAACCAACCAAGAGTGTATTTTTCACTTTTACTCAACAGACCACCTACAGTTCCAATAACAGAGGTTAATTCCTTTCTCTACACCTTTTCATCCTTATCCAGACCCAAGACCCTTCTCCACTTCCTCATCTACACACACCTACAATTCACCTATTCACCTACAATTCTTCCTACTGTTACAAGGTAGAGCCTAAATTTCCCTTGTTTCATAAAGTTCTCTTTAATGCACCAGCCCTTAATAGATGCCTCTAACCCTCTAAATCACTTTGTGTTTCCTTGCTGTTCATTTGGTACTTCATCATATGCTGCCATGTTTCCATTATGTAATATTTCATATGTAATTACCTTGTTTTATTTTTTTAGCATAAGCATTGTCAGGGAGTTTGTGTGTTCTTAAACAGTAGTTTAATTTGCGACTGGAGTACCGAGGCACATCATAAGTCCTCTGTAAACATCTGCAGAGTGAATTAATGAAGAACTCTCTATGGCCTGCAATGTGGATGCAGCCTGCAGTTTATCACCAAATTTGGCAAATGACAATTCTCCTGGGAGGGCACCTGTTTTATACTATTTCTCCACAGAATACCTCCAGAGCCCCTTTTGGCAGACAGTTCAAAACAAGCATGATGGAAGAACATTAAAGTAATATACTATTTTAAATTTGTGGACATGTTTAGAGCAGTTCTGTACTCAGCTATTTCTAAATTCATTACCAAATTATCAATATATTCTATATTCTCTAGGATTCCATGACTCTCTTGCCTGAATATCATTTACCACAAGCCTGTAACCCTATGTAAAATGCAGGAGTATATTTCAACTTTTTCCCCCCCTTTGATGAGACTTGGATCTAAGTAATTAAGGCTTTTTTTCCTTCAAAATCGGACACTAAATTATAATTCCAATTATTCTGAGTCTTATTTTTAAATGCAAGAGCTGAGGAAAACAAAGTTTACAGACAAATAGAAATTTAGGCTATATATGTCACCCATTTCAAATACAAGAATTAATTTATTTCATGAGTTTTATCAATCATGATTTTTGTCCACACTAATTAAAAATATTTTAAAATTAAAATTCAATAATAAATAATTATGAGTGTCCATTTGAACATTTTATATGGTGCTAATTACTTTTTTAACAGCTTTATTGAGATATAATTTACATACCATAAAATTCACTCATATTGTGTACAATTTTTTTAGTATAAAGAGCTGTATCACCATCACTAGAATCTACTTTTGTTTTATATTATTTTTTAAGCTGAGATATAATTCACAATGTTGTGTAACTATTACCATTCAAATTCTGGAACATTTTCTTCACCCCAAAAAGAAACCTTGTACTCATTATAATGCAGTCTCTCTCCTCTTTTCTCTCTTACCCCTCCAGCCCACGGTAATCACTAACCTACTTTCTGTGTCTATGACTGTTTTTATTTTTAACATTTAATAAAAATGGAATCATACAATAAGTATGTGGTTTTCTGGGTTTTCTGGCTGAGCCAGAAAACTCTCACTTAGCATAACGTTTTCAAGGTTCATCCATGCTGTTGCATGTATCAAAATTTCATTTCTTGTTACCACCTAATAATATTCTAGGTATTGGTATCAAACAGATCTACTTAAATAGGTAAGTAAGTAAATAGATACTCTGACCTTGAGTAAATTTGTGAATGTCTGAACGTGTTTCCAGATATACCACATCTGATTTATCCTTTCTTTAGTTGATGAATATTTAGGTTGTTTCCATCTTTTTTAGCTATTAGGCACAATGCTGCTATGAAAATTTGCATACGAGTTTTGTCTGGACATGTGTTTTTATTTCCTTGGATAAATAACAAGGAGTGGAATTACTAAGTCACATGCTAATCACTTTTAGGATGAATAACATATATATTTTTTCTATTTTGAAGGATTTCTGACACAGCCAGGAACCAGACTTTTCATGAAAATACTAATATAAAAACCCTTTTTAAAAATAAGGTTAATCTGCATACAGCTTTGTTATGAACAGAATGTACCATATTACTTTCCAATTTGGGGTTCAAATATAAATTCTAAAATGAGGTGAGGGGAAACTAATTTGACAATAAACTATTTGTAAAAAAAAAAATAAAGGAGGTAAAGTAAAAAATAAAAAAATAAAAAAAATAAAATGAGGTGAGAACTCCTTTTGGTGTAAATTATAAAACAAGATGGAGCTTGCACTAGCCTAACTTAATCAATATGCTAGGATTATATTCTATTTTTTGAGCAGGATGTATATATCCATCTCCTTGTGGTGCATCACTGTTTAAGAGATAAATACACAGTAAGGGAAGCCTTACCCAATAGGAGGAGCAATAAACAGGAATTTAAAATACCAAAAACCCTGAGTAAGTTAAATTCTTATTTCCCTCCACTAGCGGGGGCATGTTTTACATTTCATAAGAAAAAGGTGAATCGTTAATTATAAATAGTCATGTAAATTCCCAAAGCCTTTCATAAAAGCATCTTTCAGAAATTGAAGGCCAAATAAACTTCTGATCACATGCTGGGTTTTTTTTTTCCTCTGGCAGTGTACACTCTAGTTCAAACATAACTCAGAAAGCAAACTTTAAACAGAGAATTAAGAGCTGATTGTAAAATTCCACATTAAAAAAAAGAAGGTAAAAAAACACACTTTAATTTTAAAGAGAAAATCAAACATCTTGCAGCAGAAATTAGGCATAATCAAGGGAAAACTACCAGACGTCCTACCAATCACAGCAGTGGAGAACGCCACAGGTCGTCCAAAAGACGCATTCGTTTTAGCCAACAGCTCTTTCCTCCCGCCAAAGCTGTCCCTAGAGCGTCAGAGAATAACCCATCCGGTGATTGATGATTTTTCCCTTTTGATTCACACACACACACACACACACACATCCACCTGCTTGGAGGTGTCAAAGCGACTGGAAATGGTTAACAGTGACCAGCAGCAGAGAGAGAAACAAACACCCCTGACAACCCACAGCTGAGTAAGCAAGAGCTGTTTATTCACGAACATGTTCCATTTGGAGACTGTCGGCGAGCCCTTGAAAGACCAGGCACATTTTAGAAGGCTCCTAGAGAGGGAGAGAATAATCTTTTCTCCCCCCGCCACTCCCCCAAGACACACACTGAGAAACTCGGGTGGGAACCATCTGGTCTAGGCAGTCCCCCGCCCCCTTGGGAATAACCTCCCGCACCAGTGCATCCGACCCCTTGCGGGGGTTGTGTAACTCCCCAAAACGAGCTCAGACACTGCAGAGCCTGGCCCCGGCGCCCAGGGCTTCCGAAGGCGCTTCTGCCACCCCCCACCCCGGCCATGGCCCACCCCGACGCCGCGAACGGGGCTGGGGATCCTGATGAGAAATGGCCCTTGAGCCCCCTCCCCTCACCTGGCTCGGTCCCACCTGAGGGCGAGAGCTGAGTAAAGAACAGGCAGGGAGGGCTGACCTTGTTGCTACTGACAGTGGAGAGGCACATCCTGCTGCTTCCTGGAAAGCGGCCCGAAGGACATTTTTCCCCCTGGAGGAAGGAAACGGGAGGGCGCCGGCCGGGCTGCTGCGGGCGCGGCGGCGGTGGTCGGGGCGGGCTGTGCAGCCTCCAGCGGGGACGGTCCGAGGACTACATCTCCCAGGCTGCTCTGGGCCGCCTTGCGTCGTGACCCCGGCGCGCACGGAGGCGGTGACTCTTACCTCACAGAGGTAGCTCCTCCGCCAGCAGCAACTCGGCGCCCGCGGTCCATGGACCGGAACCCTGGGCCGACGGGCAGGAACCCGGGCCGCGATTGCCGCCTCCCCGCCCCAGGCTCCTCCTCCTCGCTCTCCACCGCCTCCTCCGGACGCCCGCAGGACGCGCACCACCGCCTCCGGGCTCGCGGAGCCACCCCGGGAGGTTGGGCGGCGGGTTCGCGGCTGCCGCCGGACTGAGGCCTACTCCGCCGCCTCTCAGTGCTATTGTCCCTGGGCCCGGCCCTGACCAGGTCCACTGGGGAGGGCCGAGGGCGCCCGCTCCGCGAAAGATGCCGGACCAAGCCCTACAGCAGATGCTAGACAGGTACGGGCAGCTTTGGGGGAGAACGCGAGCCGCAGACCCTCGTCGGGCGCTGGTCCTGCCCGCGCCCGGCCTCGAGTCTCTCCGTAAGCGGAGCCCGGCGTCCCGGGAGGAGTTCCACGGCCGGGGGTCCGTGTGAGGGGCAGAAAGTTTGGAGTCCGTGCTGGGGGAGGACAGAGCGGGCGGTTCGGGTGCGTAGACTTACAGCGAAACTTAGGCGGTGGCGTCGAGTTTTGTTGGAACGCCCTTTTCAAGTGAGAGGGGTTTGGATTAACCCACGGAATTAGTTTCTGTTTCTTACACTCCTCCCCTCCCCCCTCCCAACTCTATGTTGTAACGTGTTTGTCAGCGATGTCACTGGCAAGAACAACCAGACTATCTTTCGGGGAAATGATCCCCTATGGTTTTAAGACTCTTTCCAAAAACCAAGGGTAGGTAAGCGTTCTTTTGGGAAACCTGATAGTCTGATTTTAGTCCTCCTTTCCCGCATCCCATCCCCAGCCCCAAACTCTAAGGGCAAGAGTATCCGCAAGGGAGCTTTAACAGTCAGAGTAGAGGTTATAGGAAGCAGCCACACGAGCACAACACTGAACAGTTAGCGTATTTCATGATTCATTGAGTTCACTAAGAAGGTTTCATTTTATACTGGGGTCCGTTGCCCATTCTTGGGGGGCTCCAGACAGTAAAACTCTTTTGTGAAGTCGATTGCACCGCCCTCTGCTGTTCAAATTCTAGTTCATGGGTTCTTCCATGAGTTTTTGGAGACTCAACACACCTTTCTCCTTAGCCAGGTCTTAAATTCCTGGAATTTTACAGGTTAATGCATAATGTTTGTGGTTGCTTACACTTGTCACACCACTTGCCACGCTGTTAAGCAGGTGGTACAGTTCTTTGTACAGAGTAAAGGTCCAGCTGAAAGACCTTAAATGAAAGGTCTCCGTTAACTGAGATTATACCCAGTTAAAGGCTGTTTGGATCAGCCACACTCAGAACACAAATCACCCAACACTACATCTCCTTTCAGAGTGACAGAACAGACATTTATTTCCTTTGGAGGTTAGAGTTTTGAGACATCAAAATTGATAAATATCACGTTACAGACTTACTCAGTTGGGATGACCCAGTGGTTAATTCAGCCCGTGTTTAAGGTCAGCATTCAGGTCAGGTTGTATTCAGCATTCAGGTCAGGTTGTATTGCCTAACCCCTTTTTAATGTAAGGAGTTTTATAAGCTAGAAGCCAGAAACTTTCTCATTTATCTTAAATTCTAGAACAGAGCCTCGTACTCAGGTCATCAGTAAATACCTGTTTTATGAACAAATGCATGAGCTTTTGTGTCATCTTCCCCGGTTGTCTCAAGGTCTGATAAGTTAGCAGGTTTTCCCCCCATTATAATTCAGCATGCCAGCAAACTGCATAGGACTACTAAAATATGCTCAGAGTAGACCACCTCTGTCCCCTGCTAGATCCAATCAAGTGAGACCTATTCTGGTGCAGGGTATGTTCTACTTAATTTTTGTTTTCCTTTGAATGTCTGCTGCTTTCGCTCTTACATAGGTGACTTTAAGAAAGATTTGCGTGTGTATAAGTGACCTGGCTTTCGTATACTCTTTAGAGTGTTCCATAGAAGTAAAAAGCCAAGGAGTGCTCATAAGGCATTTAGAACTTCTCAACGTAAACTTGGGAATTCTGATTCCGTTTATTGAAGATGATGGCTGTAATCTTTGCTAATCTTCATCTTTTGTACCTTTTTGACATACCTCAAGGTAGATTCTTAAGATGACAAAGACTTTATTATCTCAGTCAGTAGTTTGCAACCAAGCTTCACATTAGAATCACCTGGAGAGCATTTTAAACTATGGATGGATGCCTAGCTGTACTCAAGACCAATCAGACCACACATTTCTGGAGGATGGGGCCTGAGTGTCTATATTTTCAAAAGCCTTCCAGATGTTTCTGATGTGGTTGAAAACCACTATCCTAAACCCAAAGGGATTATTTCATGATAAGCGTAGGGATTCGTTAGAAAAGTTTGGGCTTTAGAGACAGCAATATTGAAATTTTCATTTTGCCACTTAATAGCCATGTGAATTTTTGCACCTAAATTCTGAGGCTGTCCATCCTCATTTGTAAAATGAGAAATGCCCCACCTCACAGGATTTTATCAAATGAGAACACGTGTAAGCACTTTATAAAACAATAAAACGCTATTTGTGTTAGGCACACAGAAAGTACGTAAGATTCTCCTATAGCCAACCATTGTGGCACTTTCCCCCTATCTCCTTCATATTTGTCATCTCAGCCTAGACAGGTCCTGCATACAAGTTGAACACAAAGATACTTGATTGATTCATTTGAGGAATACTGACAGGCCCAACAGATTGAAATATGTCAACCTATTAAGGCTCATAATTGGTTTCTGGGTGGCAATTTTTGAGGGACAGAATTTAGCTTAGAAATCTGCCTGTATGTTTGTTTTTCTGATGCATATTTTATCCTTGAGAAGACTTAAGGAAATGTGTTTTACTTGTTCTTTTGGCCGTAGGTCGAGTTAGGTATTTGATAGTGAATTATTAGGTATTTGTATTTATTGAATTTATATAGTAAATATTGAGTGCCTACATATACCCGGTACCATTTTAAGTCCTTGGCAGTGAACGTAACTAAAATCCTAAGACAGAGCCTAAATTCTAGTGAGGTTTGTGTTCCAATAACCTGTGAAATGAAGATTGTGTTTCATTGTAACATAGGTGATATATTCAGTTTATACTACTTAGTCTTCCAAGGTGTTTAAACTAATGGCAGCTTACTAATAGCTGAAGTTGAATCGCTTTGTCCTTTGTGAATAAATTTAGTTTAGCAATTATTTATCTTGATAAATTTTAGTGCAGTATTTGTAGGTGGAAAGAGTATATAGATATTTTGATTGCCTTTCACTTTAGTAACAGTAAGCAACTGTGCTATGTAAATTCATTATTTGCACCTTTTAAATTGCTGTGGGTAGGGATGCCTAGATAGCTCAGTTGGTTAAATGTCAGACTTCTGCTCAGGTCATGATCTCACTGTTCACCCCACATCGGGCTCTGCTGTGTGCACAGAGCCTGCTTGGTATCCTTTGTCCCCCTGTCTCTCTGTCCCTCCTCTGCTTGTCCTCTCTCTGTCTCAAAAGTAAATTTTAAAACCCATTAAAAAATTAAATTGTTATGGGTAAACAATTTTTGAGAGTAGTGGGAAAGGGGGTGTATCATCAATGATTTAGGATCACAAATCATTGCCTTGAAATTATAAACATTTATAAACTCTTACCCTTTATATCATTACTCTGTCACCATCTGTTTTCTTGATTTCTCCTAATGTTTCTCAAAATTAGGATTAAATGTATAGAGAGTACAAAGAATATTGTAACAAACTACAAGAATGGACCTTGTATTTGAAGGCTGGGCCTGCTGAGTGATCCTTCTGGAAACTTGACTTATGTATACCCAGTCTCACAGTAATACTCAGGAATTCGTTGAGGTCGTTTTACATCACTTACTTGCACCTGGTGAGTAGGCCAGACACTTAGTGTCCAAAACAGTCAGATGGGAGGGAGAGCGAGGAGAATAATCTGTTCCCTCTCCTGCAGTTGAAAAGTGAATTAGAATCCTCTTTCAGAAAGTGTTATCAACCACAGGTGTACGTCCCTTTAGAAGATGTAGACTATTCTGATAGGAACATGCCATATTATTTTCAGATTTGCATAATCATCTCTTACTTTGCATTAAAGCAGTTTCTCATTTTCTGTGTCATTTGGCATCTCTTCCTCAGTCACATCTCTGTCCCATTTTGACAATTACAGAACAATACCTGGAATTAAAAACCATAGCAATTAGTTATATTTGCTTCCATCTGTATGTTAAAAGTGGAAACATTACAGAAAAAATCCCCTTTGACCACTAACATCAGTCCCATATCTTCTCTCCATCCCCGTTTCACTTTCATAAATGGGTTTATATTCTTCCAGGATCCTTTGTTTAATGCTTTTATACATATCATATATAATTTATGATTTTATTGCTAAAATTTGACCATATCAGTATACAGTTTGCTTTTATAAATACTGTTTTGAATTCTGTGATACCCAGCAATTAAAGAGAATATATATATTCAGTGAATTGACATATTCTTTTTTTCTTAATCCATTCCCCTGTTTATGATATACTTAGGTCCTTATTTTCTATTAGCTCTCCCTATAATTTGACTTACTTAGGAAATCTAATACCTTTTTTACTTGGTCATCATGTCCTTGATATATATGTAATGAAGATGAAACTGATGACCACCACCCCCTAACTTCTTGAAATTATATTCTATTACACCATACTATTTCTCTATCTTTTGCTTTTTTTTTCCCCCTCATATATTATCTTACCTTTTCTCCCTTCAATCACATAAGTATAGTTTAAGCCTAAGCACTTACTATTCTTCTCTTCAGTGTACCCACTTACTATCTCACTTTCACTTGTATTTGAATGGCTCCCAGATGTGTGTCTTTATTCCTGACTGCTTTCCCACTTTTAGTGTCTCTTTCCTAGCTAGCCAAA